ACTAATAAATAGTGTTTTCTGAGTCGGTGTCGCAAGGATGAAGTTGCCGATCCTGACTCGCCATCTCCTCATTAGACGCGCCTTTAGAGAGAAGTGCATCTTTACGGATTATGATTATAATGAAAGAGGGTTTTTTTTACATTTGTTTTATTTCGTTAAGCAGTAATTTAAAGCCTTCTATAGATATATTTGTCATGTCTGTGAGGCATGTATTCGCTGAGTTTTGGTTCATTTTTGTGAAGCGCGCCTGTTCAAGACGAGACGGCAGAAAGCACATCATTCTTTATTTTATAAAAGCACAACGTTTTGTTGATATTGTGAGTGCGCACAAATAAAAATAGACCCTTTACAGTTACGAATGATGTATTACTCTTACCTTTATGAGCAAAAATGACGGCGTATTCACTGAAAAAAATGCAAGTGATCGCGCTGGCATCTCTATGTCCTGTAAAGCGCGCTTCAGCTTCCACTCTGCGCACAAAATATTGGATATAGCGCACATTTATCTAGGTTTAACGTTTAAACGTTGTTATATGCTTGAACTGTTTAATATCCATAGATTTTATTTTAGGCAAGTCGTGATGATTTGAGAAGGCTAAATTTTTAATAGCTGGAACAGTAGTATAAGCTGTTTTGGGAGAAGGGGAAAAAAAGACGGGCTCGGGTCGGACTCGGGCCGGTAATTCTGATAAGCTGTCGGACACGGGCCGGGCTAGGATCTGAGCACCTCGGGCCAGGGCAGGGCTAGGGCCTAAATTTGAGGCCCGTGCAGGGCTCTACTGTAAACATGTTTTTTTCTGCTGTAAAGTTGGGCATTTTAACATGGGGAGTCTATGGGATTGACTCCCTTTTGCAGCCAGCCTCTAGCGGCCAGTTGACGAATTACAGTGTAAGTCACTTCCGTGTTGGTTTCACGAGAGAGACCGGAAGGTTGCCGCTTGGTTTTGACGCTGCAAACAGGCAGAGTTGTAAATGTAAACAGGTGGACCGACAAGATAATGCATTATAAAAATCTAAACAATTAAGACAAATTATATTTATATTATTTAATGTAATAATTGATTAATAATAATTGTTTAAATTGATATCATAATTGATACAACTCGTCCATTTTCTTAAAAATGTATATAAAACTTTTTGTTTTGTGAAAACCTGTAAGTCATGCTTTTTACAGTCATTTTACAGTTTGTTATCATAGTCATTGCCCTACTGTGCTCATAAGATATTTTATTTGTGCAGGTCTTAAAAAATGTTTTAAGTCTTACATTTGAGTTAAAAAAAAGTTTAAGATGACTTAAGGGAGCTCTTTTGGTCCCTTAAATTTATTAAGGTGAAATGGTTACCAAGGACTTTGTAGCAACACTTAAAAGAACAATTAAATAATTAAGTGGAATACTTAATAGCAGCCTTAAGGTTCCTTAAGTTAACCCTTAGGTTTTTTTCTTGCAACCCAAGTTTCACTAAGGGCTCCCTTAACCTTATAACTAAGGGATTTCTTAGCATAAGGGCTTTCATGCAACTGGGCCCAGCACTCTACGTTTTGAGCTTGGAGCTCTTTCAATATTTCAATAAGTCTTTATCTTGTAGTTAAGACTGTGAGGTAAGTCAGTCAATCTTGCGGTCACAGGTTAAGCCTATTTTATCAATATGCCAGTTACAGTTTTTATGGGATTATAAACACTTCAAGTAGATCTTTTGGGTGTATTTTAGGCCATTAAATTAATCAAACTAGAGCTGTGGTTCATGACCTTCAGTGATTATGTTAGGGTCTGATTTGTTCTAGGGACACAGTCAAAGTGCCGTAAAATGAAATGGCACAGGTCTGGAAATGAGACTCCAGCTCTTTGTGAGAGCTGCAGTTTGAGCAATTTGCTACCCATTAAGTACCCCGGCTTGATTTGCAGGACTTGATTTAATACTCCATCTAAAAGATGGTAAGCTCTCTTGTTCTTCAGGGAAAGAGAGAGAACATTTGCTTTTCAGTGCTATCATATTCAACCAGCATATCTCTGGATATCTCCAGTGTCTTCTATGGTTGAACACCTTCAGTAATTGATCTGCTTGCTTGCGGAATGTGTTTTGGGGAAGGATATTGACGGTGCTAGGCAGGAAGTAACACTTAGTGTCACAAAGATGTTTTGGTGTCATTCAGGACAACCATCACCATAGTGTAGCTGCTAGAAATGGTCCCTGACAAATAAATAAATTTTCTATCAGAAATTTGAATTAATAACTCATTGCATTTAAAATACTTTTTTAGTGAATTTCTTTGACCCAAAAATTAGATTTGATTTGTGTTAAAGAAATAGTTAACCTAAATGCATGAATGAAAATGAATTTAAAATATTTTTTGTTTAATATAGGACCATTTTTTCTAAAAAAAAAAAAAAAAAAAAAAAAAAAGTCTTTGAAAAGTCATTAAGAAGTCTGTGTAAACACTTTTTGAAATGATTGCATTTGATTATTTCTGATTATTTGCTTATGTATATGTTCTGTTGAAATGTGTCATTATCTCATCATTTGGTAACAGATTGCAGGGGGCATTAAATGCGATTAGATTCTTATTTCCAAATATTTATTATTCAGAAAGTACTAAAATAATCGTTAATGTGAGCGTTAAGCAACCGAAATCGTTAAGAGAAATCAGGATCGTTAAATTCTTTCCGATTCCAATCAGTAATGGACACATACAATTATTTTTAGTGTCGCGCTCGTCCAAGGCCAGTGCGCGCGCACACATGCGTACATTCTTCGTCTCTCTTTTGCGCGCTCTCTTTCTCTGTGGCACTGTAAGCCGTCTCTCTCTCTCTCTCTCTCCCCCATAACCATTCCTCCAAGATTACTGCTCATGTTTTGCTCTGGTGATTTTCATCCTTCATCTGGCGGTTATGTATTGCGTTTACGACACGCTCTCTCGCCGGCGACCGGGCCCTGCCTTTCTTAACCGGTGTCACAGCTCCTTCTTCGACAGATAAAGCCGGCGGTGAGCTTTTTTTCAACGGTTACAACTCTCGTAACATCGCGCTCTTCGTCGCAAAAATGATTAATTCCGCTCAGCCGACGCCTGTCAGGATGAAGCATCACTCCGCGCGCGCGGCGGTGGCGATGATGAGGATGATAGGCTGTAATAACGGTCGTTATGCGCGGAATTTTCTCCACAGCGACTGCGTTATCAACGAAAAGACGGTCGTGCTGCAGAAGAAGGATAACGAGGGATTCGGGTTCGTGTTGAGAGGGGCGAAAGGTAGGAAAAAAGACGGACCCCTCGTCGTCTCCGCCGCCTCATCAAAACTTCCTCACTTCATGCTTTACACCCTCGAGAATCAAACCGTGTTGGTGCTTCATTTCACGCTATTTCTTATCCCTTGCTCGTGTTGTCCTCTTTTTTTGTACACCCTCACTTAACGTCATTTCTGTTGATTTCAAAGCGCGTCATCGCGCGCGCACTTGATTTGATGTGCCTGCGTGGCTTCAGCTGCATGAATTGCATCCATGTCAGCAACTTCTGAATTAATGCATCTCTTGGTGTCAGCGTGTCCATCACTTGACTGCAGTGCATTTAAGTGGGCTTGTCAAATCTGTGAAGTGTAAACACAGACCCCCACCCCACCCACTCCCTGCTCCATGTGCTTGGATTGTGTTTGACTGCATTAGGGCTCTGCTGGCACTTTGTCTCAAGGGCTTCCTGAGTCTGACAGTCCAGCTGTTTCTTACTGTGGTTAAAGTGATTAATTCACTCTCAAATCCTTCATAAAAATGTACTTAACTTCAACAAACCTTTAACTATGCAATGCATTGACCTCTTAAGATAGACACTAAAAGTCTCCTCCCAACCACAGCTGCAATGCTTTTAGTTTCTAGTGCACTACAGATCCCTTGAAGTTGCGAGTGGTGCACCGTGGCTGCTTTCTGCATCAGCTCTTGCGATGCCCCTTGTTCTGTCAGGCTCCAAACCAGTGCTTCTCCCCACACTGTCAGCGGTGACATCCATGCATGCATTTTCTCTGGTTATATAAACGTCCCAACTCCTGCATTCATTTTTGATTTGGTTGGATGGATGCATTGCAGTTTGCATCATGTATCATCAGACCAGATGCTCTTGTTTAGCCACACTCATTCATTGTGCTACAAGGCACTCGTTTTCATAGGAATTGTATTTTTTTATATATGTAATCGATGTAAAAGCATGTTATTTTCAGCATGTTTTTGAGTAATAGCAAGCTTAAACATAGACTAATTTACATTAACACTTTTATCCAAATCTAGCTATATATATAACATCTTAATGAAGATAAAACACCTAAATATATATATATATATATATATATATAATTAGGTGTTTTATCTTCATTAAGATGTTTTGTATTCCAGGATTAGGTTTAATCAGGGCCCATAAAACTAGTACACTGTCTTTTGATCTTCACAATCTCTTTCCTTTGGTTCTGTCTTGTCTGGCACGGCCTGGATTTTAGCGGATACTCCCATTGAGGAGTTCACTCCGACCCCGGCGTTCCCTGCCTTGCAGTATCTGGAGTCTGTGGATGAGGGAGGAGTGGCATGGAAAGCTGGCTTGAGGACTGGAGACTTCCTCATCGAGGTAAGAATATGATTGGGTTTCCAAAAGCTTATGGTTTGTTTTGGAAAGACGCAGAAGCCATTGCTTGCTGAAGAGATGGAAAGGTCCCTGATCAGCTGGGAAGAGTGATGTCCGACCCATGCAGGGAACTTCATCTTGAGCTTGCTGCTGAATCATTCACACGTTAGTGCAAACAGGAGAATGTTTATGCACAGTGTGAGCTTGTGAATATGAGGAAAGGTCATAGTTACATCTTTAATGAGACCGAGGAGCTTAGAGACGCAGGAGATGAGCACTCCTGGAAAAAGCTGTGAACGGGTCTGTCCTGTACAGAAACTCAGTTTTCTGATGTCTCTGGAGCTCTTTGGTCTGGGTTGCATTTAAACGGCTAACCTTTGCATAGGCAATCTAACTTATCTTTTTTTAATTCTCACTCTTAATGAATGAGGGTGTAACCTTGACACTCTGAATTCATTTGAAAGTTGAAAATGTCAGGCTGGTAATCACCCATCATAACTCTTTGTAGAAGTTGGGCTTTGAATTTGATAGTTGTCTGAGAGTGATCTTGTATTTATTGGATGTTGTAAATTTTTAATGCCTCGGAGGTACTTTGGATCTGTAACCTGTCAAGTCCAAAAAAGCAGCAAAGACAGCTAAGAAGTATCATGATAAGGGCTCACTTTGACCATTTCAGTTTTTAACCACCTTGTGGTTATTACCATATTACATGTAGTTTTATTTGGAGCAGTGAGATTATATTATTACATATTATACATTTGGTATCTGCAAAACTACATATGTTCAAAAACGACTTGTGGTTAGGTTGTCTGAACAGTTGGCTTGTTGGTCATAAGCAAGCACAAGACCTCAGTCAGGTTAGGTTTATTCTCAGAACATGTTCTTGTGATCAAATATAGCTAGTCTGAAGTGTGATGAAATGTCTTGAGGTGTGTACAAATCCTTCATAGTAATTTTCTTAACGTGTATGTGCAAAAGTGCTGCTTTGATGGCTTGATGGCTGTAGGTGCTTTAGAGGAGGTGAATTTAAAGAAGCAGGTTTTAGTGTGCAGAATGAGTGATTAGGTTTTATATATATATATATGAATGATAGATCTCTCTCATGCTAACCAGTGTAAAGTATAGTAAAACAGTAACATAGTGAAATATTATTATACTTTAAAATAACTGTTTTCTATTTTAATATCTTTCAAAATGTAATTTATTCCTGTGATGTAAATCTGAAGTTTCAGCATCGTTACTCCAGTCTTCAGTGTCACATGATCCTTCAGAAATCATTCAAATATGCTGATTTGCTGCTCAATAAACATTTTTTATCATCAATGTTGAAAAAAGTGGTGCTGCATACAGGAATAGTTCACCCAAAAATGAAAAGTTTCAGAAAATGTACATAGCCTTACTAATGTAGATGAGTTTGTTTCTTCATCAGAGCATTTTGAGAAATTAAGCATTACATCACTTACTAATGGATCCTCTGCAGTGAATGGGTGCTGTCAGAATGAAAGTCCAAACATCTGATAAAAACACCACAATAATCTAGTAAAGTAATCCACACAACTCCAGCCCATCAGTTAACATCTTGTGAAGCGAAAACTGTTTGTAAAAAACAAATTCATCAAGACGTTTTTAACTTCACACCATTGTTTTCAGCTAAAATACAAGTCTTCTGTCCATGATAATGCTTTCTCTAGAGAAAAATGTGTCTCGTCTGAATCAAGAGAGAAATATGCTCAGATCAAGCACTGTTTACAAGCTAAAACTGTCCAAAACAGCTTTAAACAAATAAGTTGGTGAATTTTGATGTGAGAGGACAACAGGCGATGGAGTCATAATTTTGGCCAGAAGTGACAGATTAAAGTTAAAACACTGTAATGGTGAATTTGTTTCTTACAAATATGCAGCTTTTTACTTCAAGACATTAATTGATGGGCTGGAGTCGTGTGGATTACTTGTGGATTATTGTGATGTTTTTATCAGTTGTTTGGACTCTCATTCTGACGGCACCCATTCACTGCAGAGGATCCACTGGTGAGAAAATGACGTAATGTTAAATTTCTGCAAATCCTTCAATGAAGAAACAGGCTCATCATGTTGAATGGTCTGCTGGAGTAAATTTCCAGCAAATTAAAATTTTTGGGTGAACTATTCCTTTAATGAATTTGTGAAAACCATGATGCATTTTTTTCATAGAACAACATTTGTAAGATATCTTTACTGTCACTTTTAATCACTAGTCACATGACTAGTCAACCCTCCTGCCCATCCCTATTATAAATATATAATGATGATGGAAGTTTATCTGCAAAACACCTTGTCTTGGCCCCTCAGTTCTGGCTGAGCTGAGACTTCAGCAATGACTGACCATGAAACATGAAAAGCATTGGGAACATCGTCTTCCTTTCTGCATCAGAAAAATAAGTTCATTTGCACGCAAAATGTAAGAGAACACTCACTTTGTGTTAATTCACAGAGAGCAGATCCAAGATCTCAGCACCGCATTGGAAGGGCAGAGAAGGGAAGGGAATAACCAAATTATTGGTTCTCATGAGCAGCAAAGATTCCATGAATTATTAGCTCCTTACGGTAATCAAAGAGTCTAAATGTAACTAAGCCAGAATGTTTCTATGATAGAGCAGTGGGAGCTGCATTTTGATGATGTAATTTTGCAGGAAGGGTAATGTATGTTCTTACATTGCTGACCTTAATGACAGTTTTCATATCTAATAGTTAGCTGATGGACTGCAGTGTGACACGCTAAAACTATTTTAAATGCAATTTGGCTAATTATATGTATGTATATATATATATATATATATATGTATATATATGTATGTATAAAGCTTATTGCTGTATTTATTGAGATACTATGTGAAATATTTATACTTAAGATAAAATCATTTATCACAGTGCCAGATAAAACTAACTAGTGAAGGAAAAAGTGTGATTTTAAAAATGGCAAAATGTAAAGAAATAGTCAGTAGTTACAGCATCTAAAATATTAATATAAATATATCTAAATCTTATACAAGTTTTAACCTAGATTCTTGATTTTAAAATTTGATAACGTTCACTCAATGTACTTCATAAAATATACAACATAAGTGTATGCAAATGCAATATTGCATTCTAACCACTCTTAGAGTTGACATTCAGATCAAAATTCTCTTAGTCTGGCACAATGTATTTGTATATGTAAAAAGTGCAAAGGTTAGAATAACATTTCAAGAGCAAGAGTGAGTGTTTGTGTATATAAATTAATTCATCGCCACTTCCCCTCGAATACCGCGGAAACAATAAACACGTTTTAATCGTCCAGTCGATGATATTGACCGTCAGTCCCTCAGGAGGCAAGCAAGCTTCACTACCCACATTAGGTTGAGACACTGCAGTTTTGCTCTCTCAGGTCCCAGGGACAATCTAGCCTTATGGACCAAGCAAGGTGAAGCTCTCACAGAGAATTTGACCCGGTTTTACTTTACGTTGATGATGAAAGCTTGCAATAAATTTGTTAGGGATGTCAATATCTATTTTATTATTATAATTTTTTTTTATAAAAAGCATATTTGTTTTACCTTCTGTGAACTGCACCAGAGGTTGAATAGCAAATTCTCACTCCTACATTTCCTGGAGCTTTTGAGAGTCAATGAATTAATCTTATTGCCTATAAGAAACTCTAAGAAACAGTGTAGCTTATGAAGGGTGTTAGTGATCAACCAGGAAGCTACAAAATAGAATGATGGATTTACTGAAAATACATCTACACCCACTTGCCCTTGGTGTGTGGGCACGAGTATCTCTCTTTCTCTTTACTCTCATCTGATCGTATTTGTGCATCTTACTTACCTCTCTTTTCTGTATACAAGAGCTAATAGTGTATACCAGGGCATGTGTTATCAATTCCATAAAATAATCAGTGTTTACTGACCCATAATGTATTTGCGGGGCTCACCAACTTCTGTAAAAAAAAATAAATAAAAAAGAGGAGTGCATGCTGTTATTCAGCTGCTGGAAAATATAATGTGGATGTGGTGCCTGAAAGCCATGTTTGAGTGAACATTTTTAATAATTATATCAGGCTATTTCATGAATTTAGGATGTGGATTTGCACATGTATTGCATAACATCTTATCTGACAAAATGCATCTGGTGCTTTAAAACTATTTTAGTGGTTTAAACAAGCAGCTGCACTGAAGTATTTTGGTTCTTGTAAATATTTCGCACTGTCATGCTGGTAAAAAAAAAAGTCACGATTCACGAACGTCATGAAAATATGTAATTGTGGTTATGTAGCTCAAAAAATTGCTAACGTTAAATGTGATGGCTGGTTGATGTGTTTGTTGACGGTTGGACATGTCTCCTCGTCTGTAATGCTTTCTCTCCAGAATGTTCTGTGTGCACAGAGAGAACCAGCAGGGAGGAAATCTGTGGACTGTAGGAGATGCCTGCGAGCGTCCTCATGGCCTGATAACCGTACAACCTGTCACCAAAACCTGCTCCTCACGCACTGCGAACCAAGTGTAGCGCAGTACATAGCGTTTGCTCTGTGACACTAAATGTAAAAGTTACCAGTCGGAACGTTGTGTGCTTTCCATTTTTAAGCGACATAGAATATTTTATATCATGGAATAGATCTTCCTATTTTTAATATTTCCAGAATAACGGAATCCAGTGATGTTACTGACCTTCCTCATGCGTGTATGTGATGGTCCAGGTCTCATGTTGTAACACAGAGCAACGGTCGCCTAGCAACGGCACCAGCATTGTGTCTGAGCGCTAATTTTTGTTTTTATGAAATTCATTTGTTTTTTTGGTTTTTTTTTTTTTTTTTTTTACATGTGCATTGAGACAATGTGACCAGACTGACCCTGAGCAGAACTGATATGATTAGTCAAATGGAAGGCTTATCGTTTTATGGTTTATTTCCTGTGTGCTGACTCTGTGTGCAGAGGATAACCGCCTGCTAATTTCATCAGATTTTAATCAAGTGTGGGCTGCTCACCACG